CTGCTCCAGGGTACCATGCAGTGAGGTGCCAGGGCTGCCAGCTCTTTCCGGAAGCTCTGCCTGCTCCCAGGCTTGCCCTCCCACAGCTCTGCAGAGCTACCATCTGCTGGGCGGAGGGTAGGGCGGGGCTGAGGCCGCCTATTGATCAGAGACAGCTCCTTCCCTTCTTCCCTGCCTCCCACCTCCTTGAGGCCCAGGCCAACAACCAGCCCTGTCACCTTAGAAAAAGCCTAGCTTACATGGGGAGGGTGAAGTTGGCCACTGCCCCATGTCTTTGTATGAGACCTGGTCCAAGGGCTAGTAACGCTGGGCACTGACCCCTCAACTCCAGCTTGGGGAGGAGGAGGTGTTCTGAGGCTTCTCATGCCCCCTCGCCACCTTGGCCAGCTGAGACACACCTCTGCCCACTAGCAATGAAGGGCACAGGGGTTCCAAGAGCACTCTCTGGCAGGAGCCCCTCCTGGAAACCTGTCCCTGCACACTCACTCTCATCAGGGTTGGGGGAGGCTAGGATGGCGCTGTGTTTCCGTTTCACCTCTTCCACGTTCTCTGCAATCTTGTCAATGAAGCCCCGAATCTCCTCCACCTGTAGACCAAGGCAGGGCAGTCAGGAGGGGAAAGTCTGGGGAGGGGGCATCTTGGATCTGGGGCTTGCCCAGAATAGGGCTGAGGCCAGGGCTAAAGGAGAGGAAGAGCTCAGCTTTTCAGGAGGCAGGGTATGGTGGGTGGCTGTTCCCAGGTATACTTCCAGGATGGGAGGAAGGGACCCCAAATTTGCTCTGCACTGAGTTTCAATCTATTTGTCCTCAAAGTGCATTCATTAGTTGCTGTCCCTGGGCTGTGGAGTCTGGCATAGAGGGTATGTAAGAGCCCAGGGCCTGGCTCAGAAGTGAGAGGTGACAGTACATGGGGAGAGATGGGGTGTGCTGGCTCCCACCTGCTCGAAAAACTCATCCATGAAGTGGTCTCGGTCCACGGTGACAGTGACATCATCATCATCATCGCTGTCCTTAGCCTGCATAGGGTGGTGCAAATATGAATTCATCTGTGGCAGAACCACTGGGCCCACTGGACTTGGGGCCCCAAACTGTGCAACATCAGGTATATGCAGGCACATGGCATGCAGCTCCATGGCCCAGGCCATCACCTTCTCTCCAGGGGCCTCTGAGCAGGGACAAGAACAGGCCTGACTATATGTTCAGCTCCCAGACACAGTGAGAACTGGGATGACTGCTGGGACCCAGGAGAGAGCCCTTGCCTGTTAAGCTGGTACCAGGGCCAAGTTTTGGCCTCCAGGTCAAGGATTCCCCCTCTTGCCTAGCTGCCTGCCCTTCCCTGCAGCTGGGGAGGTCTCTGCCTGGCCCCTTTACCTTCCCAGGCCTTGTCTGGGACAGCTTTCTGGAAGCCTCACTCACTACTCCTCTGGCCCAGTCATGCTAATTCAGGAGGAGCCCAGAGGTCCCAAGCTCCCTTTCCAGGCTCTGTCCTGATCCTGGGCACTACCAAACCCTGACCCGGAAGTGGGATGTCTCAAACATGGGGCCACCTTCACCATACCCCAGGATGGGGTGAGGGATACTGGCTGTGTGGGGTGCCGCTGGGTACCAGCTTTGCCCACTCAGGCTTCTTAGGAATCTTCTCTCTTCCTGTCAGTCTAGACATTGGACCTTGGTCTTCCTTCATTCCAGCCCCAGAGCTGGACCTCGAAGGAACACGGGACCAGTCACATTGCCTACCTTAGGCCTCCACCATGGTGTAGGCCCCACCCACTGCTCCAGAAGCAGCTGTACAAAAGCCACCTCCCCATCATGTGATGGAGGTGATTATACCTTTGACTTCCCAGGATGCTAGCCATGGTCATACTGTGTACCCCACATCTTGAGTTGGCTAGGGTCAGCCCAATCTGCCAGCAAGGCTAAGATCTGGCTCCACAGCTCAGGCAAGGATACCCAGGTGGCCACCCTGGTGCAGGGACCAGCACTACTCCGCCTGGGATTTAGGGTGGGCTCAGTCCCACCCCATTCTTTGTGCCCTACAGAAGTGGGAACTACTGTGCTCCATACTGGCCCCATTCAGTGCCCTCTTTCCAGGACTGAGGCAGATGAAGTTAGAGGGTCTGGATAAGCTGAGGGGAACTACTGGGTAGGGCCCCAGGCCTCACAGACACCAGAAGCTGAGAGACTTCCCATCTGGGTCTGTCTGCTCTTTTTGTGAAATGGGGACAGTGCCTGACTGCAGGAAGGGAGGCACAAAAATACAAGAAACTAGAGCGTGTTCTCTAAGTGGCTGTGTCCTGGGGTCCACGGACCCCTTGACCCTACCAAAGTGGGGACCAGCCAGAAGAGGAGATGGTTGGGAGCTTTTATGAAGGTAACTCAGAGGGGCCTCCTTGCATCAAGAGATCACACCTCTGGCAGCAGCTAATATAAATCCTTATTCCCACTCCCCACAAGTGCATGTGGCTGCCACCAGGTGGCCTCCCCCCCATAAACACAGAGAATCTAGGAGCCATAGTTACACTTTTAGACCTTGCCAGGTATAGGAGCTGAGTCAGAGGACTACTCCCTGAGGAAAATGAGGCAGAGCACAGCCTGGAGGAGGTCAGCTCCTGCTCCTGGGCTACTTGCCAGGTTGAGAAGGGGCCCTGGGAGTTCCTGCCATTCAGTACCCTACCCTCTCTGTCCTGGTGCCCAGAGGATAGGGATATATGAGAAAGGGTATTAGGAAAATTTTCTAGCTCTGGCATCCCTTTCTCTCGGGAACAAGCCAGAAAATTCTCAGCAGTCTGCTGAGTGAGTCCCCTGCTCTAGCCTCAGAGACCCCTGGCATTTGGGCTGGTGCCTCTTCTAGCCTCAACTTGCCCATCTGTAAAGTGAAGATATATCTTCTGGTGTCCCTCCAGCTCAGACCTACCAGCTCCATGGCCTCCCCAGAGAGCTGAAGTCTGGACTAGGATGTTTCTCCAACAGAGTGGGCAGGGGAAGATACCCATGCCCTCCTCCAGGTGCCCCACCTTTGTGGGTACAGCTGGGGAAGGGGAAACCAGGCCAGGGTTTGACTGAGGCACACAGGTTGGTGTCCACCCTGGAGGTGGCATTCAGACCAGCCCTAAAGCCAGTCAGAGGATTTAGGACCTGACCTCCTAGCCTTAGGTAAACCAGCTGTGGCTCTAAGCAAAACCTAGAGGGGATGCTCCAAGAAGATCTATTCTTACCAAGTCCTCCCTCCCTTCCTCCTCAGGACTTTTCATCCCATCCCTCCTCTTCACCCCACTGCCCTACTATACCACACCTATAACTCTCTCCTGTACCTACAATCTACCCACTGTGCTCCCTGCTTCTCCCATGTATTTCCCTCTGCTTGGAACACTGATTCCAGGAAGATGACATCCCCCTCGTCCTTGGATGCCACCTCCTTCTGGAAGCCTCCCCCCCATCAGTATCTGGTGCCCACACATTATTGACATCCCTACTGGAGCTACAACTGCAGACTCTCAGGCCCTAAAATGTCCTCTTGGCTTCAGTTTCCAGCCTCAGCTTACATGCCTTCTGTGATGGGGTGCTCACTAGATTTCCCAGGCAGCTCTGCCCATCTTGGGCAACCCCAACTGTTAGAAAGTCCTTCCCTTTCCTGTGGTTTGGTCCCAGGCCATAAAGAACCTGTCAGAGATCTGATGACAGCATCCACATCCTCTCTAGGTTTCTGGAGTAAGCATTCCTTCCCCTTTGGATCCTTCCCAAGGGCCCCCAATTACAGCCCTTGCCCCACACTTGCCCTGTTCTACCTCTATCTTCTGCAGTATAGCACACAAACCCTATCTGGGGACTGCGGTCTGAGCAGTGCCAAAGATCTAAGCCATCCCCTCCCTCTTTCTGTATGGTCTACCTCTATTAAAGTGATCAGAGATCACATTAAGTGATTAAGCACTACCAGGAAAGGCTCAAGCCCTTTCCCACCATTGTCTATGTTAATTGAATTTTGGGCTCAAGTAAGGGAACTTTTTCCTGTTTCATGTCTTTTATTTCTTTTTTCTTTTCTTTTCTTTCAAGACAGGGTCTTGCTTTGTTGCCCATGCTTAAAGAGTACAGTGGTATGATCCCAGCTCATCAGAGCCTCAAACTCCTGAATTGCTTCAGCCTTGCAAGTAGCTGGGACTCCAGGCCTGCCACACCTGGCTATTTCATTTCTTCATTTGTTCTGATCCTTGTTTCAGTCTGTGGGAGTCTGATGACTCTTAACTCTATTGCCCCCTGTAATTTCATCCACCTCCAAGCCAGAGCCCTGTGGCACCCTTCTAGAGACATCCTTCAGATCTACTCAGACCTTTAGTCAGTTCCCACTGGACACTGAATAAACTGACAAGGACATAGGATGTCAGAGCCCTGCCCCCACCTCCTCTGTCTCCCAACCCAGACACACTCCTGACCAAAACAGAACTAGATAATGAGGTTAGCCTGGAACGCTGTCTTCCTGGTGTCTTGGGCTGGCCAGGGTGGACACCATATACATGATCAAAGTGGGCACCCAGATATTTTTGAATGATGAGGGATCCAGCTCCCCTGGGAATCTACCAACCCTCTCTAAGCAACAGTAATGGCATTGGAAGGGGGGCTGCATTGGAATTGAGGTCATGGAAGGCTTTGGTGTGCAAGTGGCAGTTGGACCCACAACGCAGTTGCAAGCTCAAAAGTCCAAATATTTCATGGCCCGATGTCCCCAGATATCATACGGGTACCTTGCCTGCCTGCCTGCCTGCCTGCCACCTGGCTCAAGCCAGGACCCACCTCTTTCCCCTTCTCTGAACTCCCCAGATCAGAACGCCCACCACTGTGTCCCAGGGCCCTGTTAGCCAGAAACCTGGAGGCATCCACCCTCTTCTCCCTCCGTTTCTATCCAACCAACATCCAGTGTGTCCTCATTCAGTGGTTTGCAAAGTGGCCTAGCACCAGAATCCCTTGGGGGGATTTTTAAAAAGCAGGTTCCAGGGTTCCACCCCAGAGAAAGAAAGATAGAAATAGATTGAATTAGTGAGGCTAAGTTCTTTAAAAGTACTCCCACACCCAGGATTGAGAACTGTTGGTCGGGTCACCCTCACCCTCTGACCTGCTGTCCCAGCTCTTACCTTATCACCTTCAATCAGGAATGAAAGTTGGGAGTATTGTCTCCACTATGGAGCCCATCAGGAAGAGGAGACCCTGCCAGAACCACCCACCATGGGAGGAAAGCCCAGAGCATCCCCTGGTGGAGGCAGGGCAGCCTTGGTGGTCTCTCCTGGAAGAAGCTCCAAGATTCCAGGACACCTTCCTGGAAGCAAGAGTCTGATTCCTCCAAGAGGCACAGAGGAAAGGCAGCCTCCAGGCCTGTCCCAGGGGATGGCGTCAGGCCAGCCAGCAGGGTTGATTCATCACTGCTGAGCACAGTTGCTGTTGTCTGCCTCGAGGGCTATTTTTTTCCCTTCCTCTTTTAAATGACTAATCAAAGTCAATATCACTAGTGCAGAGAGACCTGGAGCTGAGTCAGGGGTGTGTGAGAGGCCAAGCTGGGTCTCTAGGAAAGAGGACTCTCCATCATCTCCCCTCCCCCTTTCCCTCCTCTCCAGTCACACTCCCTGTGTTTCCTACACCAGGTCCCTGCTCAGCAGAGCCTGCCCCTTAGCAGGGCCCCAGAGCAGTTCAGGAAGGCAGCTCCAGGCTTCAGAAAGGGCTGGGATCTGCCCCCAGTGCTGTGTGACCTCAGATAAACCCCTGGCCCTTTCTGGACCTCAGTTTTCTGATTTATAGGATAGGAGATTAGACTATCTTGGAAGTCTAGGAAGGCCAGAGGGAAATGTTCCCAAATCCATCGTTTATTCTGGGAAACCCCAGGGTGGTAACAGGATGGAGGGAAAGAGACCTTGCCCTGTGCCCATTCATCTGCTCTCTTTTTTGCTGCTCTATGAAGCAGTTAATACTGGCTCCATTTTACAGATGAGAAAATGAACAGAGAAAGATCAACTTCCAATCTCTTTCCAGCCACAAAAAAGAGAAAGGAACTGGTGGGCTAAAAGGGAACAAGCCATCCCCATCCAGGCCTGTCTGGCCGCCCTAGCGAGCTGGCCCTAGTCTAAACTTCAGGCCATCAGAGGCCAGCTGCCAGAACTGCTGTTCTCTCTTGGTTAGGCATTCCCCCCTCTCTGCCTTTCGTCAAATGCTCACTCCTCCCTTCTAGAGAGGGAGGGAGAATCACCCTCTCTCCTGTTCAAATCCAGCTCTTCCTCTGGGACATCCCAAATTCTCTTCTTCAGGTTCTGGCTGTGCTAGCAACCCCTATTGCCTCT